CAGACTGTAAAATCAAGTCCTGGAAAAAATGAGTCATGAAATAAATATACAAATTAGAGTTATGGAAGACGTTAAAATAACAAGATATAAATCATTTATATATCATACTTGACAACTTAAAAGTTGTAGAAAGTCGCAGTGCAATTTACTGATTTTGCCGTCAGTGCAGAAATGTCTAGATGGGGTTTGGATGTTTTTCCAAGATTTGCAAGATTGTATCTGTTGGCAGTTTTTATTATTACTAATCATTTTAATGAATTATACCAGTCTGCATTAGACATGTTAACCTTTCTATCTCGCAATAAATATCATTTTCTCTTATCAACTGGCATACTCTTAACTGTAAAAGTTGCAACGATTCGAATTTTTAAGCGTGACATTTGACTGCTTTTACTGGTTACATTAGTGTCGGACAACTAATCTTCTGAATTAAAATCACACATAACGCGTTTTGCCACGTTCCTGGAAATATGTTCAATTATTGAATATTGCCTGCAGAACTAGACAAACCGACAATAGCTAAAACGTTACTAGAAAAACGGCAATGAATATTCTTTAAATGTTTTCAGAGATAGATAATGGATTTTAAAAATTGAATATTAAAGCTTCTCTCAGTAAAGAAACGAGATCCACCTCTTTCTCGATAACTACTTTCTCAGTTGATTTTTATTGAACTTGCCTGATTTAAAATTACCATGACGCTATAAAGTAATATAAGACAAGAAGTCAACAGTTTTATTGTATATATAGAAAAATATCGCTAAATACAACATCTGAGCTGGCAAAAGGAAGCTTTTTTGAGACATGACATGGAAAGCAAGATTGAATATTGAGGGGATGCCAGACAGAAGACCATTTGTCGTCTGATAATTAAAGAAAGAGCAATGGTGTCACATCAGTAATTGAGGCGCTGTTCAAAATTACGTGCTCTTTAAATTTTTACCTTTTAGTTTTGCCGTTATGCATCAACTTAACATCTCCGGCGGCGCGAACTCCTGAAGAGATTGGACGTCAATTATATTAATGTGACCTGTATCTCAGTGCATAAAAATAGGCAAAATTGTTTATACTCTTTGTATTATAGAATAGTATCATTGCAAAAAGAGAAGCAAAATGCCAGCGTCCCTTGGGCAATCATTCGATTTATGATCTACCAACAATCAGATTCTACAGACTGTTGTTCCAGAATTTATTCGTGATTTTAATAAATTCACGACTGCCCAAATGTTCTTTCGAAACGTTTATCGACGCATTCGATACGAAGAATCTGTGAATTTGTAGGACTGATGTTCTTTGTGATCAGTACCATTAAATATGTCTCTCAATGTAAAGGCCGTATTTTCCAACAAAAGTTTCCATTAGCCTGGAGCATAGCAGCGTGTATTTTGTTTCGTGTTTATAGAATAATTTTAACCCTTACTTATGAAATATTTTCCTTCGCCAGATTGTAATATACAAGGACGTCATACCGGCTGCTATCTTTAAGATGTCAATAGTATATCGATAATCAAATTTCAAACTCAAAATGATAATTGCTGTTGCAATGTTTTCTAAACGTTTCCTTTTTAATGGTTAACCGCAACAAATGTGATCGTCGGATTTATTCAATCTTTATTTCCAAGTAAAAGGGGATATAACTATTTGTTACTTGGCCCTTTATAGACTTAAATAACCTTTTTACTACATACAGAAAAATGAAGTCGTGACCTTAAGATTCTATGATTAACTATTGACTTTTCAGTCACTCCAATAAAATGATAACTTTTGAATAATTTGTTGAAGAGGCTGATGCATCATTGTTTGATCACATGGATGTTATACTTGTTCAAAGAGTAACTATAGAGTAACACGTCTTTAAGATATATTGTAATTAAATATCTGTTTTATGTGTATACAACATTAAAATTGTTATTCCTTGCAGAAAAGGCAAACAAAATTGATCACGAGTTTTATTTAGAAATAGTTAATTGTTAATTCTGAGTATTAATTGTCTAATATTAAATTGAAATATTTATGAACTCTCACCCTAATAGATTACTCTGTCCTACCAGCCAACAAAATGTCTGAAATGTCACTATTTTAACGTAAAGCCTTTATCTACGCACAATATATCACAGTGTAAAATGCCGTAATATTCTGATATATTGGATTCCTTCGCATGGAGCCAGTATTTGCAATAAAATATGCACATTTCATACGATATGAGTTTTCACTATCTGAAAAAGGTTTTAGAGTCTAAATCTTATTGCCAGTAGAAAATGTTCCTTTCACGTTTCTCAAAAATATTCTTCATTGTATTAAAAGATTAAAACAACATATACACAAGATTTGTTGCTAAGGATTTGACATCTGCAAGAAAAAAGAAAATCTAGACGGTTTGATGTGTGGCCTTGAGTACATTTCACGGTTGACTAGTAACAGTGAGGAGCAAAATAGATATTATATTTAGCTAGCATTTTCCTTTTTCAACGGTCGAATTTTATCTGTTACTGTGATATAA